GACTGTCATAAATAAGACTTCCCCTTTGAACACCTAGGGCAGGGTGGCCTGGAGTGTTCCCTTATCTCTGGTTTCCTTATACCTCCACATTTTTGGAATTTCTGTGAGCCTGACCGCATAGCCCCCTTACCTATTTCTCCCTACCTAGCCCCACCTGTCCTTTCTCAGAGACATCACCTTTCTGAACTTCAAGTTATATTACAAAGCTGTAGTGATTAAGACAGTATGGTACTTGCATAGATCAATGGAACAGCATAGAAAACCCAGAAATGAACCCACAAATATATAGGCAATTAATCCTCGACAAAGCAGGAAAGAATATCCAATGGAAAAAGACAGTCTCTTCAATAAATGGTGTTGGGGAAACTGGACAGCAACATGCAAAAGAATGGACTGGACCACTTTCTTATACCATACACAAAAATAAATTCAAAATGGATTAAAGACTGGGGTGCCCGGATTGGGCATCCGACTCTTGATCTCAGCTCGGGTCTTGCTCTCGAGGTTGTGAGTTTGGGCCCTGAGTGGGGCCCCAAGCTGGGCATGGACCCTACTTTAAAAAAAAAAATGGATTAAAGACCTAAATGTGAGACAAGAAACCATCAAAATCCTGGAGGAGAACACAGGGAGTAACCTCTTTGACATTGGCCATAGCAGCTTCTTACTAGATATGTTTCCTGAGGCAATGGAAACAAAAGCAAAAATGAACTATTGGGACTTCATCAAGATAAAAAAAAAAAAAAACCCTCTGCACAGTGAAGGAAACAATCAACATAACTAAAAGGCAACCTTCGGAATGGGAGAAGATATTTGCAAATGACATATCTGAGAAAGGATTAGTATCCAAAATATATAAAGAACTCATAACTGAACACTCAAAAAAACAAAGAATCCTGTTAAGAAATAGGCTGAAGACATGAATAGACATTTTTCCAAAGACAACCAGATAGCTAACAGACACATGAACATCATTCATCATCAGATAAATACAAATTAAAACTACAATGAGATATCTCCTCACAGCCGTCAGAATGGGTAAAATTAACACAGGAAACAACAGGTTTTGGTGAAGATGTGGAGGAAGATGAACCCTCTTGCATTGTTGGTGGGAATGCAAACTGGTGTAGCCACTCTAGAGAACAGTGTGGAGGTTCCTCAAAAAGTTAAAAATAGAAATACCCTATGATCCAGCAATTGCACTACTAAGTATTTACCCAAAGGATACAAAAAATACAGATTCAAAGGGATGCATGCACCCTGGTGTTTATAGCAGCATTATCAACAATAGCCAAATTATGGAAAGAGCCCAAAGGTCCATCAACTGATGAATGGATAAAGAAGATGTGA